GTCCCCGCCGACCCCCTGCGTGGAGGCTGCAACGCGCTGGGGGTCCCCGGGGTCCCCCACGGGCTGGCCAGGCCGGAGGCGCTTTACTACCCGGGTGAGTGGCCCCCCCCTCCGCGGGCCGGGGATGGGGTGGGGGGATTGGAAACCACTGCCTGCCGAGACCCGAGACAGAACCCGGGGCGCAAAGAAACGGGGCTCTGGGGAGCCGGGAGAGTGGAGGTCGAGGTTCCAGGGACACAGGAACAAGAAGATCTGGGAGCCAGGGAGCAGTGACTTGGGTCCCAAGGCACTGGGGGTGGAGGGGATCCCGGGAATAGAGCCCCAGGGGGGTCTCTCATAAGGGAAATTTGGGAGGAGAATCAGAAGTTGGCATCCAGAAACACGGAATTACAAGCTCAGGAGAAGCAGATTAATAGGGTTAGAAACTGGGGTTCCTGGCACCCGGATAATGTGAAGGCAGTTACCCCATAAGAGATGGGTGTTCTCTAAGATATTAGGGGTCTTAAGAGGTGAAAAGTCCCAGGAAGCAAACTATCAGGAGGAGTCGGCATAGGAGAAGATACACTTGGGGTTCTACACACCCCAATATCTGGAAACTCACAGCTTCAAGGACCTAGACAGGGCAAGGGGCGGGAGAGCCAGTGTTCTGGCACCCAGGTGTGTGTCTTCTCCAGTGGTCAGGACTTCCTGTTGGGGGTCACAAGGTTCAGAGTTCCCAGGGGCATTGGGGACCCAAGGAGTTCAGAGATGCTAGGGGGACTGGAGTCCAGAGTATAAAGACCAGCCAGGGGCTGGACACCTGTCACTCTCACCTGTCATCCCAGTAACTCAGGAGGCTGAGATCTGAGGATCACAGTTCAAAGCCAGCCCAGGCAAGCATGTCTGTAAGAGTCTTAGGTCCAATGAGCCAGGTGAAAACGGGAAGTGGAGCTGTGGCTCAAGCAGTAAAGCGCTAGCCTTGAAAGTTGAAGGCCAGCATGCAGGCCCTGAGTTCCAGGCCCAGGACTGGCATGAAAAAAAAAAAAAAATTAAAGACTCGTTGAGCAGTCTCTGAATGGGAGGCCTTAGGATCCCGAGGGCTGACAATGGACATAACTGGGACCCAAATGGACAAGAAGGGGAGCCAGAGAAAGCCAGATTCTCTCTTCTTTATTTTTATTTATTTATCTTTTGCCAGTCCTGGGGCTTGAACTCAGGGCCTGGGCACTGTCCCTGGGCTGCTTTTGCTCAAGGCTAGCACTCTACCACTTGAGCCACAGCACCACTTCTGGCTTTTTCTGTGCATGTGGTACTGAGGAATGGAACCCAGGGCTTCATGCATGCTAAGCAAGCACTCTACCATTGAGCCACATTCCCAGCCTTAATTTTTTTGTTAATTTTCCCCCCTGGTACAGGGATTTGAACTCAGGGTCTGGGCGCTGTCCCTTACTTTTTGTGCTCAAGGCTAGTGCTCTACCACTTGAACCACAACTCCACTACTGGCTCTTTTTTTTTTTTTGATGGTTCATTAGAGATAAGAGTCTTATGGGCTTTCCTGCCAGACCTGGCTTGGAACTGTGATCCTCAGATCTCAGCCTCCTAAGTAGCTGGGATTACAGGTGTGAGCCAACTATGCCTGGCCACTATCTCCTTATGACTTAAAGATGGGTGTGGGGTGGGGGAGGGTTCCCTTTCAGGATCAGCTTATCCTGGTGACTGGGTGACCCGAGAACTGCCCAAGGCAGTGTCCCTAGTGCCCCTAGTTTCTTACTGCCTCAGTGGCCTGTGCCTCTGCCCAGCGGGAGGCCGGCCTCTGCCTCCTCTTCTCATACCCTCGCTAGAACCTGAGCCTTACTTTTCCTATCTGCACAATGGGTGTGTGCAGATCGACAAAGGCCCCTTCTCCCTGACCTGACCAATGAAAGATGGGGGACTTTTCTCTCTCCCCCAACCCACTGAGCCAGCACCTGGTTCATTCCTCAGTTATGTGTCCCCCCCACAAAGCCTGAGTAAACAGGCCCCTGGGGACCTCCGCTGGGTCCCTTCAGAGAACAATGATCAGAATCAGAGTTGGGGGGACAGGGAGGCTCGGCGGAGGGCTGTGGACTGGGATGAGCACTTGGCTTGGTCTTGGGGCTTTAAGGACCTAGTTCGGGGTGGGCTGGAGGCATGGCTCCATTGGTAGCACCTCCATGAGCCAAAGCGCCAGGTACTGAGTTCAAGTCCCGGTCTTGGGCATAATAGTAATAGTAATAGTGGAAAGTGGGTCTGGAAGGAAGGGAGACCCCACTGCAGGAACCAAGGCTCAGACAGGACCTGGCTTCACTCAGCCCCTTTCTGACCTCCTTTCTTCAGGACCATTATTGCCTCTTTATCCCACCCCGACTCTGGGGTCCCCCTTTCCTCTGCTCAACCTGCCTGCACCCTTGTACCCAATGGTGTGTCCTGTGGAACACCCCCTGGCAGCTGACATCGCTGTGGCCACCCGAGCAGATGAAGATGGAGATACGTGAGTGACAAGGGAAGGGGGGAGGGAAGCCAAGATCTCTACCACCCGCCCAGCGGCCAGTCCTGTCCCCACCCCTGAGCCTCAGTTTCCACCTCTGAGAAATGGGCTTCTAAGAACACGCATCTCCTGGGACTGCTTTTGAGGCAGTGGTGCTTGCTTACCCTCTCTCTCCTCTCCCCCTGACTCTCGAACCCAGGCCTTCATGCCTTCTAATCTATTAAGCTATACCCCTGACTCCACATGTTTGTTTGTTTTAGAAAAATAGGAGGCACACATTCCTTGATCACCTTATAGGGTTTGTTTGTTGCTGGTTTCCTGATTTGAACTCAAAACCCCGTGCTCGCTCACGCTGGTGCTCTACAGCCTGAGTCATGTCCCCAGCCTTGCTTTTTGCTGGCTATTATGGGACTAAAGAGTCTCACTAATTTTTCTCCTGGCCTGACTTCCAAGTGTGATATCCTGATGTCAGCCTCCTGAGCAGCCAGGATTACAAGCGTGAGGTACAGCGACCATCTTGATTGATTTGCGTGTGTGCGTGCACGCATGCGCAGATACTCACTGATCCTGAGACTTGAACTCATGAACTCAGAGCCTGGGCGCTGCCTCTGAGCTCACCTAGAACTCTGCACAGGAGACAGTTTAGCTGTGTGCCTGGTGCATAATTGGTGCTCAGAGTCATTCACCTTGGGGATTATTGCCACTCATTGGACATGGGTTTGACTCCTGGCTGGCCACTTTCTTACCCTACCATGCCTCAGTTTCCCTCTCTATGGAAACAGGAACTCTAAGGGTGTGTACCTCTCTGAAATGATGTCTGTAACGCCCTTTCATGGGAATTGGGTTGGGGACTTAAAACCACAGGGAAAGGCGTAGAGACCCATTGGGCTCACCATCCCATGGCCCCAAGCCTCAATTTCCCATTTTACAAACTGGGCCCCATCCCAGCACTTCTCATAATTCAAATTCAGCAGAACGGAGCCTAGCGTAGGCAGTCGGCGCTCAATACTTGACATTGCGCACTGAGACAGAGGAGCCCTGGGTAGCAGTAGGAGAAAGGTAGTTGTCTAAAAGCTTGAACTTGCCGGTGGGTCAGGCACACGCCTGTAATCCAGGCTGTTTGGAAGGCTGAGATCTGAAGATTGAAATTCAAAGCCAGCCTAGGGTAGGAAAGTCCCTGAGACCCTTATCTCCAGTGAACCATCAGAAATCCACTAGCCTTGAGCAGAACACGCTAAGGAACAGCATCCAGGCCCTGAGTTCAAGTCCCAGGACCGAGGCTCGTGTGTGCGCGTGCGCGCGCGCACACACACACACACACACACACACACACACACACACACACAGAGCTATAGTTCTGGATGCCTCCTCTGGGCTCTTATGAAGCAGGTGTCGCTCCGGGTCAGCCTCAGGAGGGACTGGTCAGTTGTCTTGGAAGCAGGGTGCAGGCCCTCAGCCTTCTCGCTTTGTTCCCTGTAGCCCCCCCTTCCCTCCCCCCACCCCAACACAAACACTTGTGTCTCAGCTGCCTGCCGGGGAAATCCCTTCTGGGGGAACTTGACCGCAGCCAGCTGCTTACCCCACGTCAGCACCCCAGCACCCTCCCTCCCCAACTCCCTCCAACCTTAACCCCTTCTACTGGGGCCCAGACTTTACCGGAAAGGACAGCCACCAGCCCTGCTTCACACAGGGAGGGCTGCTAAGTCTGACTCCCCAAAACAAAGCAAAGTTCTACAGGCTACACTTCAGAGTCCTTAGTAAGACAGCCAGAGCCACGCCAGTGGTTCACGCCTGTAATCCCAGCTACTCAGGAGGCTGAGATCTGTGGATGGTAGTTCAAAGCCAGTCAGGGCAGGAAAGTCCATGAGACTCTTCTCTCCAAGGAACTGCCAAAAATGAGCCAGAAGTGGAGCTATGGTTCAAGGGGTAGAGGGCCAGCCATGAACAGAAAAGCTCAGGGACAGCAGCTGGGTCCTGAATTCAAACCCGGGGACAAAAGAGAGAAAGACTGGACTGGGAAGATGGCTCAGTGGCAGAGTGCTTGCCTTGCATGCATGAGGCCCTGGGTTCGATTCCTCAGTGCCATATACATAAGCAGAAAAAGCCAGAAGTGGTGGTGTGGCTCAAGTGGTAAAGTGCTCGCCTTGAGCTGAAGAGCTGAGGGACAGCGCCCAGGCAGAGTTCAGGCCCAACGACTGACCAAAAAAAAAAAGAGAGAGAGACAGAGACACAGAGAGACAGACAGAGAGAGAATTGTGGAGATGTGGAGGTGTAGGAAGCTTGATCTGATCCCAAAGAAATTAGGGACAGGAGAATTAGAAACTGAAGTCTTCCAAGAGATGAGGCCCATGACTCTGAGTTGGGGTGCTGTACGTATTTTGGGGAACAGGAGAAGGGACCGGCTGCAGGACCTGGCTCCATAAAAGCCTTAGGGGAAGAAGCCAGCTCCATTCCTTTGCAGAACCTTGAACTCAGTACCTGGGCCTCACAAAACACGGTAAATCACACAGTGATACCCAGAGACTGTGGGGCTCAGTTGAGGGGGGGGGCGGTGGTGTCCATCTCCTCCCACCCACCCCCACCCAGGGTGGAGAACTCTTCACACACACATACACACCCATCCTAGTTGAAGGTGGAAATTGGGGTTGTAAGGTGGGGGTGTCAGGGTAGATCCCCCAAGGGACCAGCTTCCCTCCCCCGGGAGCAGGAAGCGCAGCCCCGCCCGGCCGGCTGTTACTGGAAGTCCAGGGCTGGGCCTCCCCTCCCTCCCCACTTCCTCCAGCCCCGCCCCACCCCTGCAGCCCTGGCGTTTATGGGAACTCGCGCCGGCTGGGTTTCTCTGAAATCCTTCACTGCACTGCCCTGGCTTAACCCCGCCCGGGGAGGGACCTAGGCCAGAATCCAGAGAGATTCAGGGGGAGGTAGTGGGGGCTGGGGGGGGGGCCGCCCTGGCCCAGGGCCAGACCCACCCCAACATTCTCTATTTAAATCGGGTTGGCTTTGAGAGTCACCTGCTTAATCTGTCCTGGCACGTGGCCTGCTGCGGTGTTTCACCGAAGGGAAGGGGGGAGGGCTCATCGAGTCATGTGATTTGGCCCTAGATGGCACTATAGGGGTGTTTGCAAGTGGATTTTGGCCCCTCCAAGCCCCTCCCTCATGGGAGACACCCCAGGATTTCCCTCCACTCCTCCTCAGAATCAGCTGGGACGCTAGCTCCTATTACATAGTTGGGAGTCAAAGTCTTGGCAAGGCATTGGGGTGCTGCGCTCTGTCCCCCCTCTCTAACACCCCATCCCCAGATTGGGGTACCTTGGAAAGTGAGGGCTCACTGAGAGTCTGGCTCCCAACAGTCAGCAGTCTACAAGGGAGAAGAAAGCAGGTCTGGGCAGCTGGCCTTCCCTCCCCCCTCCCATTCCCCACCCTCTCATCCCCAGACAATATAGAAGTTGGGGTGTCTTTTGGCCTTGAGTCAGGAGGCTGGAGCCATCTGAGAGCTGATCAATCCCTGCTCTCATCGGTCCATCGGTCCATCAGCTCTCTTCCCCTCAGCTTGTTTGACAGCCCATGACCCCAGAAGCTAGGAGAATGTCTACTTTAAGGCCAGATGCAGTGGCTGCCACGGTAATCCAAGCTATTCCAGCTACAGATGAGGAAGATAAGGCTTTGAGGTCAACTTGAGCATAATCCCATGTCAACAAAAGAGCTGAGTATGGTGAAGCGTGCCTGTCATCTCTACTGTTGAAGGCATAAATAGGAAGATCGCAGTCCAGATTAGCCCAGGCAAAAATTGGGACACCCCATCTGACAAATAGCTAAAGCAGAAAGGATTATGGGTATGGCTCTAGGGGTAGGCCACCTACCTAGCACTTGTGAGGCCCTAAATTCAAATCATAGTACTGCCAATTAAGGAAAAAAGAAAAGTCCTGGGGCTGGGAAGGTGGCTCAGTGGTAGAGCGCTTGCCTTGCATGCCTGAGGCCCTGGGTTCGATTCCTCAGCACCACATAAGCAAAAAGCCGGAAGTGGCGCTGTGGCTCAAGTGGTAGAGCGCTAGCCTTGAGCTGAAGAGCTGAGGGACAGCACCCAGGCCGAGTTCAAGCCCCACGACTGGACCCAAAAAAAAAGAAAAAAAAGAAAAGTCCTTCAATCTAGACTCCCTGTTCCAGAGCAGTGATACCCCCACACCCCAGTTCTGTGCAGACAGCATGAGTTCAATTGGAGGCTGGACTTAAATCAGCTACCAGAGAGCTTGAGACTCCTACCCTCCCACAAGTTACAATAGGAGGAGAGCTTGGCCCAGAGAGAGTGGGGTGGGAGCTTGGCCACTCAGCACCAGCAGAGCATCAGCTGCCCACCAGAGACTGGGCATGAGGGAAACCTGGCCCTGGTGCAGCTACAACTATATCAGGAGACCTAAGCATAGGAGACAGCCAGTGCAAACGCCCTGGGGCACAGTGTGAAAGGGTCCTTTTAGCTGCTCTTTCTGTCCCCAGCTGGCCGAGAAGGGTGTAGTAAGGAGGAAGGGGAGATTGGAATGTTCTAGAAGGCTGCAAGTGTGGCTATACCAGAGCAAAGGCCAGCAGAGGTAGGCTTCCCAAGCACCCCAGGCCTCATCAATGTTAATTCTGCCACCATAGGGGGGGGAGGGAGGACCGCTAATATCTATGGTGGTCCCTGCCCTGTCCTTCAGGCCTCTCCACATCGCCGTGGCCCAAGAGAATCTTCCAGCTGTGCACCGGCTGATCAGACTTTTCCAGCATGGAGGCCGGGAGCTTGATGTCTACAACCACCTTCGCCAGGTGAGGGGGGCTGGAGGGAGCTGGACTTGGGGGCCTAGTGGGTGGTACCCGAGAATCTGCCTTCAGAAACAGAGGCTGTGGCTCAAGCGGCAGAGGTCCAGCTTTGGGCATAAAAAGCCAAGCCCAAGATGGAGGCCATGAGTTCAAGGACTCATTCCCCTAGTTTAAAAACAAAAACAGTCCACAGACTCCTGTTTCCCTATGGCCTTGCCCTCTCACTGGTGCTCTACCATTTGGCCCATGCCTCCAAGCATCTCGAAGGCTTTCCTGACCAGGTTGACTTAGAAGAGCCTGGATCCTCCAGGTCTCAGCCTCCAGAGTAGCTAGGTGAGCCACCAGCGCCCAGCTTGGGCCCTGGTCCTTAAATGTGAGGAAGCAGCTTCCCCCCTCCTCCTCCCCCCCACTCCCTCAGGCAGGGTTGGGGTGCAAGACACCGGCCCCTCACAATCACCCTCCCGCAGACGCCGCTCCACTTGGCTGTCATTACCACATTACCCACCGTCGTCCAGCTCCTGGTGACCGCCGGGGCCAGCCCCATGGCGCTGGATCGCCATGGCCAGACGGCAGCCCACCTAGCGTGCGAGCACCGCAGCCCGACCTGCCTGCGGGCCCTGCTGGACAGCGCGGCCCCGGGCACGGTGGACCTGGAGGCCCGCAATTACGACGGTGAGTCCCGCACTTGCAGCCTGGGGTGGGGCGGGCGGTCCTGACACCGAGGAACCGGGCTTGACCGCGGCTCCTCCTCCCCCAGGGCTCACCGCCCTGCACGTGGCGGTGAACACCGGTTGCCCGGAGACGGTGCTGCTTTTGCTGGAGCACGGGGCCGACATTGATGCAGTGGTGAGCCAGCCGAGAGCAGGGAGAGGGCGGGGCCCGCGCATGGGGGCGGGGCCGGGGTGGGCGTGGTCGGTGTAGAAGCGCACCTGTGGGTGGGGCTTGGATTGTCTAATGGGATCCCCGTAAGTAATCATAGTGGGGCGTGGCCAGAGGCGGGGTTGGTGGGGAAGCTCGCCTCGGTGGGCAGGGCTTGGAGTATCCAATGGGATCCAGACCAGAGGCGGGGCTGTTGAGCGCCGCCTTGGTGGGCGGAGCTTGGAGCATCCAATGGGATCCTAGTGGGGCGTGGCCCGTAGGGAAGCACGCCTAGTGAGTGGAGCTTGGAGTGCCCAATGGAATCCAGGCTGGACTGAGCTGTGGGTAGTGGTGATGGGGCGTGGCAAAGGGCGCAGTCCTAAGGAGACACGCCCTCGAGGGGCGGGGATTAGAGTAGCCAATGGGATTCGTCCTGGATCCAGCCTCTGGATGCCCCGGGGAGTTTTGCATCCAGTGTAGAGTGATTCCAAGATCTCTCCTCCCGCCGCAGGACATTAAGAGCGGCCGCTCCCCGCTCATCCACGCGGTGGAAAACAACACCCTGAGCATGGTGCAGCTGCTGCTGCAGGTGGGTGCGGCCCCGGCCCTTGGCTCCTCCCCAACCCCTTCTGATGCCCACGCAGCTGTCATCCGGATCCCCCCTCCTCCTCCTCCCCTCCCTCCCCCCCCCACCCCCGCTTCCACATCCAGCTTGGTCTCATGCTAGGAGTCCGATTTCATTCTCTCTCTGCTGCCAACTTGGCCAGGAGCCCCTGCCGTTCATCCTCGGTCCCTTCCAAGGCCACGCCCGGCCCTGCGATGGCCCCACGCTGGCCTTCTGCCCCGACTCCATCCGTGATCCCTTCTCACCCCTCCCCTACCTAGATCACAAACCACCCTATCTAGTTCTGGTCCCTGTGTGTGTGTCTGTGTGTGCCGGTCCTGGGGCTTGAACTCAGAGCTCTGTTCCTTAGCTCTGCCGCTTGAGCCTCACCTCCACTTCCAGCTTTTTGATGGTTAGCTCATAGGGGCTGGCTTTGAACTTCGATCTCAACCTCCTGAGTGGCTAGAATGACAAGTTTGAGCCGCCAGCTCTGGTACCTTTATTTGAGAAAGGATCTTGCCGAGTAATTCGAGGCTGGCCTCAAACTGGCGATCCTCCTGCCTCAGCCTCCCGAATGCTAGGATCACAGGCGAGTGCTACTACTAAGCCCAACATAGCTTCCGTCTTTCTAAGACACACACGTCCTCGACCTGATCTGGCTCTGCTCCAAGCCTGGTCGCCGCATGTGATGCGGACCCCAGCCCCACAGCTCTTCCCAAGCCCCTCACTCTGGCCCCACCCCGCCCGCAGCATGGCGCCAACGTGAATGCGCAGATGTACTCCGGCAGCTCGGCTCTGCACTCGGCGTCCGGCCGCGGGCTCCTGCCGCTGGTGCGCACGCTGGTCCGCAGCGGAGCCGACAGCGGCCTCAAGAACTGTCACAACGACACACCGCTCATGGTGGCGCGCAGCCGTCGGGTGAGCCTGGGCGCCTGGGGTGGGGGGCGCTGGGGGTCCGGATCGTGGCGCATGGGCGGGGTGGGCCCGGCCTGGGCAGCGCGCCCCGGGGGCAGGGGACAGGGGGGTCTGCGGGCTGCTGACCAGTGACCTGGCAACAGAGCATGGGGGGGGGAAGTGGAAGGGGAAGCGCGATGTGAGACCTAGAGATGGGGAAACTGAGGCAGGAAGAAAGATAAGAGAGGGTAGGGGAGGTGAAAATATGATCCAAGTACATTACATGCACGGGTGAAAATAGTATAATACAGTCAGGCACTGGGGGATCATGCCTGTCATCCCAGGTACTCGGGAAGCTGAGATCTGAGGATCGTGGTTGGAAGCCAGCCTGGGCAAGAAGGACTATGAGACTTTGGGGGAGGGGGGTTTTGAACTGAGGGCCTGGGCGCTGTCTCTGAGCCTCTCTATGCTCAAGGCTAGCACTCTACCGGTTGAGCCGCAGTGCCACTTCCAGTTTTTGAGTGGTTCATTGGAGATAAGAGTCTCACAGGGTCTTTTCTGCCCAGGCTGGCTTCAAAACATGGTCCTCAGATCTCAGCCTCCTGAGTCACTAAGATGACAGGTGTGAGCCACCTGCCCGATGCTCTATGAGCCTCTTATCTCCAATTAACCACCATAAAAAAAAAAGCCAGAAGCTGGGCGCTGGTGGCTCACGCCTGTAATCCTAGCTACTCAGGAGGCTGAGATCTGAGGATTGCGGTTCAAAGCCAGCCCAGGCAGGAGAGACTGTGAGACTCCTATCTCCAATAAACCATCAGAAAACTGGAAGTGGCGCTGTAGCTCAAGCGGTAGAGCGCTCGCCTTGAGCTGAAGCGCTGAGGGACAGCGCCCAGGCCCAGAGTTCAAGCCCCACGACCAACAACAACAAAAAAGCCAGAAATGGAGGTGTGGCTTAAGTGGTAGAGCATTAGCTAGCCCTGAGCAAAACCAAACCCTCAGCAACAACACATGGGGCCTTGAGTTCAAGCCCCAGCACTGGCACCAAAAAAGAAATAGAAAAAGAAAATAGAAACAGGAAGAGCTCAAGTGCTAGAGTACCAGCATGGAGTTAGAAAAGCCAAGCAAGAGTACAAGGCCCTGGGCTGGGAAGGTGGCTCAGTGGTAGAGCGCTTGCCTTGCATGCATGAGGCCCTGGGTTCGATTCCTCAGCACCACATACACAGAAAAAGATGGAAGTGGCGCTGTGGCTCAAGCGGTAGAGCGCTAGCCTTGAGCTGAGGAGCTGAGGACAGCACCCAGGCCCAGAGTTCAGGTCCATGACTGGCAAAAAAAAAAAAAAAAGAGTATAAGGCCCTGAGTTCAAGCCCCAGTGCCAACATACACACACACACACACACACACACAGAGAAATGCCTGTCTACCTTCACCTGCTGAGAAGCGGCCCTCCCCTGCATGCCGTGTCCGCTGACCCCTCCATCTACCCCAGGTCATCGATATCCTCAGGGGGAAGGCCACCCGGGCCGCCTCTGGGTCACAGCAGGAACCGTCCCCCGAGCGCAGCGTCACCGCCTCCCCAGAGAGCAGCAGCCGTCTCAGCTCCAATGGTGAGCACCCGCCTGCTCCCCCCTGAACCCCATCGTGGCCTCGCCCTCAACCTCCCCACCTCTCTCTCCCTCCACAGGTCTCCCGTCTGCATCGCCATCCTCCTCGCCCTCCCAGTCTCCCCCCAAGGACATCCCTGGATTCCCTGTGGCTCCCCACAACTTCTTCTTTCCTCCTCCATCTCCACCTACCTTCTTGTCCTTCCCTGGGGTCCTCCGAGGCCCTGGCCGGCCCGTGCCCCCCTCACCAGCCCCGGGAGGCAGCTGAGAGGGATGGGGGGGCAGATCCGGACTTGTGAGGAGCCCCCGCCCCCCCGCAAAGCGGCAAACACTTCTGTAAACTGTGAAGATCTCACTCTGTCCCCCATCTTTGGGAACAAGATTTGCACCAGTGCACATGTCATATCTACCCTGAACCCCATCTTCTGTGCAGATATTACCCCATATCCTCCCCGCCCCAAGGACTTCACCCCTTCATTCTCAGGCACCTGCTACCTGTCTGGCGCCCATCACAGCCCCTCCTAGAACAGGGGAAACAAACCGGGGAGCAAGGGCTCCCCTTGTGCTCTCCCAGGTCTGAGGGAGGAGGACGATGTAAATTATTAGGCATTTTGGTTTGATATCTTTTGTAATAAACTATTTTTGTACCATACACCAGGCTCAGTGGGGCATCTTGTAAGAAAGTCTGGCACAACGGGGTGCCTCTGGCTCACACTTGTAATCCCAGCTACTCAGAAGCCAAGGATCGTGGTTCAAAGCCAGCCTAGGCAGGAAAGTCCCTGAGACTCTTATCTCCAGTGAACCACCAAAAAGCCAGAAATGGAGCTGTGTGTGGTTCAAGTGATAGAGGAACAAAAACAAAAGAGCTCACACACAGGGCATGAGCCCTGAGTTCAAGCCCCATGCTGGGCACTTGAAGAAATAAATAAATATCTCTGGGTGCTTGGGGTGTGTTTGCCCCACATCCGGGTCGCATGGTGCTGTCTGACTCCAAGCATGCTGGGAAATGTAGTTTGATCTCAGAAGCAGCTACCCAGATGAGATGCAGTTCTGTTTCAAAAGGAAGAGGAGAGGTCTGGGGTCTGCCTGACTCAGACTTAAGTGACTTACCACCCCATGTTTCAGTTTCCTCTTTTGCACAAAGGCAATACTTCCCAAGCCCTGAGGAAGAGGAAGATTCAGTGAAGGTGTGAATGCAGATGCTGGACACAGTACTAGTCCTTGTGTGATATGGGGGTGTACATTGGGGAGCTGGGGTGCTGGGCAGTGATACAGGCTGGGGGTGAGGGGCCTCTGTGTGTGAGAAACTGGGGTTTGAGGCTGAACACAGCCTTAACCTTGCACTTACTTCTCTAAAACCGAGGCTCTCGTCCCCTCTGCGTGGAAGTCCCCTCTCGGCCTCCAGACCTCAGGATCTTGGCACAATCTGGCTGCCACACCTTCAGTGACAGTTCATGTCCCTGTTGCCAGTGTCACTGGCTTATTCCACCCTGGAAAACCCAGTGGGCATCGGGCAACTCTTCCAAACTTCCATGTGAAATCTGCCAAACTCATGGTTTTTTTTTTCCTTTTTGTTCCAGCTGGCCTCCAACTTTGATCCTCCTACTTCTGCCTCCCAGTTAGTTGAATAACAAACTTGTATTTTATTTTATTTTGGTCACACCTGGGCACTGTCCCTGAGCTCCTTTTGCTCAAGGCTAGTGCTCTACCGCTTGAGCCACAGCACCACTTCTGGCCTTTTCTGTTTATCTGGTACTGAGGAATCAAATCCAGGGCTTCATGCACACTAGGCAAGCACTCTACCACTAAGCTACATTCCCAGCCCTGTATTTTATTTTTTTAGTATAGCTATTCTAGAACCCATGATCCTCCCATCTCCTGTGTGAGCCACTATGATTGGCTTTTTTTTAAAATAGTATCTCACAGTGAGCACCAGTGGCTCACACTTGTAATAGTGGCTACTCAGGAGTTGACCTGGAGTATCAAGGTTCAAAGCCAGCCCAGAAAGAAAATTTCACAAGACTCTATCTCTAATTACCCAGGAAAAGCCCATTTGGAAGTATAGCTCTAGTAGTCAAGCACCAGGTATAAACAAAATCAAGAGTGTGAAGCCCTGAATTCAAGTCCTGGTACAGGACAGGCATACAAAAAATGTTATGCCAGCATTGCAATAGATATTGTTTTGTCAGTCATGGGGCTTGAACTCGGCCTGGGCGCTGTCCCTCAGCTCTTCAGCTAAAGGCTAGCACTCTACCACTTGAGCCACAACTGCACTTCCAGTTTTCTGAGTGGTTTATTGGAGATAAGAGTCTCACAGACTTTCCTGCCCAGGCTGGCTTTGAACTGAGATCCTCAGATCTCAGCCTCCTGAGTAGCTAGGATTAAAGGCATGAGCCACAGGCGCCCAGCCCAATAGATGTTTTTAAGAACATGAGACCTGCCAGGCAGCCAGTGGCATATTACCGACTCTCAGGTAGTCCCAGCTGCCTCTGTTTGACAGGAAAGGAAACTGAGGCCTAGAGCAGAAAGAAACTGAACTTTGTATCTATAGGTCCTGGATTTCATGATTTCCCCATAACCAAACTAATCAAATTGATCACATCATGTCCCTCTGTCACCACGCAGAGGGAGTGTCTAGCATCCTCTCTAGGACCTTCCTGACACCAGAATCTAATCACAAGAGGTGTCAGTGGCTCACGCCTATAAGCCTAGCTACTCAGGAGGCTGAGATCTGAGGATCGCAGTTCAAAACCAGCCTGGAAAGTCTGTGAGACTCTTATCTCCAATGAACCACCAGAAAACCAGAAGTGGCACTGGGGCTCTAGTGGTAGAGCGTTTGCTTGAGCTGAAGAGCCAAGGGACAGTGCTCAGGCCCAGAGTTCAAGCCCCACGACTGACAAAAAAAAAAAAAAAAAGAGTCTGTAACTTCCAAAACAGTCAAGTTCAAGATACACACACAAAGACAGATGTGATCCTCACTACTCAGAAGGCTGAGATCTGAGGATCCTGGTTTGAAGCCAGCTGGGGCAAAAAAAAAGTCCCTGGGACTCTTATCACCAGTGTATCACCAAAAAGCCAGAAGTGGAGCTGCGCCTGACGTGGTAGAGAGCCAGCTTTGAGTGAAAAAGCTCAGGGACAACACCCTGAGTTTAAGCATAAGTACTGCACACACACAAAAACAATAAAAAGCAACACACAACCTCGGGTTTGGTGTTCTTTGTTTTTAAGTCTAATTTTCAGTTTTGTGCTTGTAAGTTTCTAAGTCTGCACGCATCGCTGGTCAGAGCTGGGAGATGAGGTTGCTCCCTGGACACAGCTGAATTGAGGTCTAGGGGGATGTGGTCAAGGCCGGGGGTGTGGCCAGAGTCTGGGGGCGTGGCCTTGCCTGGAGGCGTGGCACAGTCTGGAGCCTCAAAGACTTAGCGCTCCAGGGCGGAGGAAAAATTTGTGCTCCGAGCGCCCTCTTGTGGTTAGCCCAAGGAGACTTAACTTTTTAAGTGTCTGGTTTCCACTTTTCTTAAAAAAACAGATTGAGATCGAATGCAAACACCACACGTTTTACCTAAAGTGTACAACTCACCGCTTCATATGCTTCAAGAATTATGGAATCATCACCAGAAACTCTGTGTGTGTGTGTGTGTGTGTGTGTGTGTGTGTGTGTGCCGGTCCTGGAACTTGAACTCAGGGCCTGGGCTCTGTCTCTGAGCTTTTTTCCTCAAGGGTGGTGCGCTACCACTTGAATCACAGTTCCACTTGCAGCTCTTTGGTGGCTCATTGATGATAAAAGTCTCAACAGAGTTTTCTGCCTGGGCAGGCTTCAAACCACCATCCTCAGACCTCAGCCTCCTGAGTAGTTAGGATTACAGGCATGAGACCCAATGCCTGACTTAACCTGGGGATTTTTTTGTTTATTTTTTTCCAGTCCTGTGTTTGAACTCTGGGCCAGGGCACTGTCCCTGAGCTACTTTTGCTCAAGGCTAGCACTCTACCACTTGAGTACAGTCACACTTGTGGCTTTTTCTGTGTAAGTGGTACTGAGAAATGGAACCCAGGGCTTCGTGCACGCTAGGCAAGCACTCTACAGCTAAGCCACCTTTCCAGCTCTGTTTTGTTTTTGTTTTTTTAACTTTCTGCTTCAAGTGACAAAGCCTGAGGAGTCCTGTGTTTTAATGCAAACAGACTCAACGCTCTGTGATACAAAATACAACTCACAGAAACATCAGTCCAGCAAGGACACCAAACCAAACAGTAGATTTCAGGCGTGTGAATTTATATTACATTTTGCTTCATATGTAAGCGAATCTTCCCACCATAATAGATGCTGAGCACTGACACTTAATGCTCAGGTGATGAATGCTGCTTGTATCTTGGTTTCTCATTCCAAACAGCCACAATGGCTAAGTTATCAATATTGTCTCAGTTTAAAAATATGTGCCAGAGCCGGGCGCTGGTGGCTCACGCCTGTAATCCTAGCTATTCAGGAGGCTGAGATCTGAGGATCACAGTTCAAAGCCAGCCCAGGCAAGAAAGATCGTGAGACTCCTATCTCCAATAAACCACCAGAAAACCGGAAGTGGCGCTGTAGCTCAAATGGTAGAGCGCTTGCCTTGAGCTGAAGAGCTGAAGGCCTCAGAGTTCAAGCCCCACGACCGACAAAAAAAAAAAAAAAAAATGTGTGCCAGAGGCTGGTGGCTCACGCCTGTAATACTAGCTACTCAGGAGGCTGAGATCTGAGGATCACGGTTCAAAGCCAACCCACCCAGGAAAGTCTGTGAGAATCTTATCTCCAATAAACCACTACGAAAACCCAAAGTGGCGCTGTGGCTCAAGTGGCAGAGCGCTCGCCTTGAGCTGAAGAGCTGAGGGACAGAGCCCAGGCCCAGAGTTCAAGACCCACGACTGACAAAAAAAAAAAAAAAAAGCATGCCAGGCACCTAATAGAACAAAGATCTACAATCCAGGCAGCTGCAAACAACAGACATTTATTGGCTGTAGTACTGGAGGTTGGGAACTCAAATCAAGGCCTCAGCTCTCTCCTAGCTGTCTCCCAACTCACCATCCTCCTGCCCTCAGCCTCCTGAATGCCGAGATTACAGGTGTGCGTCACCATGCCCAACCCAAACGTTCATTTTCTGTAAGGACATCCTTAGATATCAAGCCTAATGAATCACATCCTCAAAGACCCTGTTTGCAAATATGGTTGTGGAAGTGGCAGGCGAGGCCCATTCCACTCATCCTCACACTTTATGACTCATGCTTCTACTATTCAGCCCCACTGCTGACTTGAGGCCCTGTGGGAAGACCACAATTCATTCATTCCATCTTCCAGTGGGCAAACCTATTTCCTTCCTTCTCTCCATTTCCATCCAACAAGACTGAAATGAATATCCCCGTTAAGTCTCTTTAGAGCAGCATTCTATGAACTTCCAAACGTGACCCATTAGTGGGGTTTGAGGTCCATTTCGTGGGTTGCACACACGATTCTTTCATTAATGAAACCTGAAACTGGGCAAAAGATATTAATGTGTATACTTGTAGCCAAGATAATGGCTAGGATGTAAAATGTTTGTTTCAAGTGTCTCTATCTGGGGAATGGGCATGGTAGCCCACACCTGTAATATCAGCATTTGAGACACTGACTCAGGAAAATCGAAAATTCAAGGCCAGCCTGTGATACCTACCAGATCATGTCTCAAATGGAAAAGAAAAAAACAAGTTTATAGTGGCACAGCACTGATGGCTAACTCCTACAAACCTAGTTTAGAAAACTGAGATCTGAGGATTAGGTTCGAAACCAGCCCAGGCCGAAAAGGCTGTGAAACTCTTATTCCAATTTATCCCCAAAATAAGTAGTGGGCAGTGGAGGTGTAACTTGAATGGTAGGAAACAAAAACAAAGACAGTTAAAGGACAGCGCCTAGCTCCTGAGTTCAAGCCTCAGTATCGACGCAAAAATAAAGAATAAGAATAAAAACAAAACCAGTGAACAAATGCGCATAGAATCTGACACACAGGACCTAACATAACAGCTCTTACTGGCACGAGCTCACATTTGTGATTGAGTCCCGGTGCTGTTCCAGGTACAAATGAGTGAATAAACTATTATTGTCTGATTTGCAACTCTCCAGGTATGCGCATATATGTGCGCCTAGAAGGTCTCCTTGGGCGAGGCTAGAAGGGGGTGGGGCTGACAGGGGCGGGGCCCGGGAGGGGCGGGGCCCGGGAGG